AAAAAAAAAAAAAAAAAACGCATATCCTTAACCCCAAACATGCCTTCATATACCTTCATCTTTTTATTTTCTACTCCGGAAAAGCATCCTGAAAACCCCTTGCAGTGCACTTGTAAAGCCTAACACAGTTTGCTCGCTCGCTTGCTCCTGAGCCCGAACCCTCCAAAGGCCTGAGGGAGGAAGTTGATCCCCTCTGAAGGTCGAAGGAAGCCCAAGTACTCTGAGGTGATCGGAGTCCTTTTTGCGGATTTTAATTTGGGGTTTGTCGGATGGTCCTGCGTGAGCTCCGTTTGAAGTTTGGGGTTTACAGCCTAGGGGAGTTGCGCGTTCGGGTTCTGGGGTGGAGGTTCGGAATTAGGATGGATTTGGCAGCAGCCTGGAGGATACCATGCAATGGGATTGTAACGGAATCATGGGCGGAGGTAAAGGGCAGCATGGAGTTGATGAATGCAAATAATAGCGTTTGTTGTAGCAAGTGTCCTTGGAAATATGGGTCACGTCGTGAAAATTCCGGTCAGGTTGCCCCTAATTCGGGGCGTCCCTCAACGCAAAAAAGCTACAGAGAGGTCTGGGATGTGGGCTCAAGGTTTGCCAGACCATACTTCAGAGGCCAGTCAAGGTGTGATCTAAGCTTCGGGTCGGTCAAGCGAGTTTGACACTTGGACAAAGTGAGTCCAGGCCTGAGGTTTCATTTCATTTCAGAGAGTTCGGGGTCGTTCATTGCAGCACGTTGGGCTATCTCGAGTAATGACGCGATGAAGGCTATGAGGGGGTTAGACGGGGCTTCTACAAATCTAGTATAAACGGCTACATACCATTTACGAACAACCTGAAAGCAGCTAGCTACCTTCTCAATGTTGGTGCCGCTCACATTCACAACTGACAGGACAGGAACGCTTTCATGCAGGTATCACCGCTCAACGAGTAGCCAGAGTTGCCTTGGAAAAGCAGCAAAACCATCACGCAACCTGTTGGGATCAAGGCTGAACCATGATCTTTCTTGAAGCTCAATAGATCGCACCACCATACTGAACTTCCCAACTTGGAACCCAGAATTCCCGACATCAAACTGGGCTCTTGAAAGCTGGGCTCCTGCGGATGTACCACGAAAATGGATGTGCTGTTTTAGCAATGTTGGGTGTAAGTATTCATACAATGCAAGCCGGACGTTTCTGCACAATGTTCCGCCCAGGTGCCAATCCACGATCGGCTCTCCAAAGTATGCGGAGACACCAACCTTTTTGAGGATCAGCTTTAAGTGAAGTTGCACGGTCCTTCTACACTGAGAACTTAAGGGAGACCACAAACCTGACAATCAAAAAACCAGATATCAAGCTTGATTTTGTGCCGGCTGCCCAAAGAAGACTACATGATGATGAGCACCGCAACATGCCCCCAATTAATAAGGAGGAAGGCTAACCCTTGTTCGTTTCTGAGTCGTTGAGAAAAGAACGCAAACTCCCCCAAAACGCCCTACGCTCCATGCAAGTTTCAAGGCTGAAGATTGCAAGAACTGAGGCCGACCCGGGGCCCATTCTCCATCAAGTTGCGGCCACGCCGTTTATAAAGCCAACGTAGTAATCACAACCCACCTACATAGTGACGAGCAGCGACTCATGTGGAGATTGAGGACGATCACGATACGCTCGCATATGGGATGTGTTGATGCATTACTTCTACTTTTTGCATTGGTCGGTGCAGAATCTTACAAACTCGGTAGGCGTGCTCTACATCACACGGCTTTTGACAGTGGTTCTTGCAAATGTCTCTCTACCTCCCTGTCTGTATTTCTGGTTCTCTTCTTCTTCTTCTATAGGCTATGCATGGCTATGCAGCATCAGAGATGCCGCGGGGGCGAACCCCCAGCCCACGAGGTTCAGTCAGGCGTCGCAATGAGGCTCTCGTGTTCACCGGATTCTTACATAAGAGAACCAATCTTCTTCTTCTACCCGTCCCCCCCTCCCTATCCGGTGCACTTCTCCTCTTTTGCCGGAAAATGGTTCTCTCTCTTTCTCTCTTTGTCATGACCCTATCTATTTGTATCTGCATATATACACATACGTATGCAAACACATAATGATATGCTGCATGCTGCTGGCTTCAACTTGGGCTTTGCGTATCACTCAAAGACATGAACTAGCTGAGACACAAGCAGCTCAAGGTGCGATGCCGAGCCACTACCAAGAAGCCCAACGACACGGCGGGCTGTACCTGGCTGGCAAGGACCACTGACATGCAACTCAAACCCTGGAAAAATCATCCATTTCCTACGCTCCAAAAAGCATGTAGGTGCTGTTTATACATGTCGGGCCTGATGTAAAGAGTACTATAGACTGAGGGCCCCAGGATGTGGCTGGTGGCCAACATCTTTTGTGCACCTCGCAAGAACAGTTGGCCGTTGCTGCGCAGTGCTTGGGCCGCTTTTGAATGTCAAACGATCTACAAAACATGTTCTCACTGATCGTGCTCACTCTGATAGGTCTTCAAACTGGATTCCCCTGTGGCTCGGCAAATCTTCTCTTGATGAACCCACCTCCCCTGAGTTAGCACCAGGAGGCCACAATGTCGGAGAACAGGGCTTCAAAAAAGTTGTCCCGCGCTCCCCCTTTCCTACCTCAAAATACGATATAGTCCCTATCAAGCACCAAGATCCTAATTCTTGGACCCTGTCCAAAAAGCAACACCGAGGCGCAATGGCCCAGAACACAGAGGTGGCAGATCGTCCACCTTCACAAGAAGATACTTGGAACAGACTTTGCCTGAACCCGAAAGTATGTGTAATAATGGCCTTTTGGGGTCATTGCTCGAGGGTCATCATGTTAGCCACTTCTGAGGTCAATGGTAAGGACTTCCTAGGGGCTCTATATAGAGTAAGGCACTGGATAACTCAGCTGTCCAATGTCTGGGGCTTTCCCATGGACAACCGTTCCGCATTTCTTGGGTTTAAACTACCAACAAAAAATCATGGTTATCCACTAGCCGTAGCCAGGGAGGATACAAAGGACATTAGCTTGCAGGAAACCGGTGGATCCCAAAACAGCCTCTTCTACTAGGAGGTTCGTAGGAGCAAGGGCCTTGTGTATTTACAAACATCAAGAGCATACAGGAGCCATCCCTCCCTCCTAACTTTCTTGGCGCCAGCCCCATGCTCTAGAAATGCTGACCCTAAACCTTGAACCAGAAACCATCTTCAGACAGTCTGCTGTCCTTTGCTAAGCATGTTAGAACAATCTCAAAAAGTTACACCTTTTTGTAAGTATGCTCATCCTGCGTATCTGCAAAACTTATTCTGTCTACCCGTGTGCCTTCAAGCAAGATCTAGGCATGCCTGCCGAATTATCCAACTTGCTTTTCCTGGGGCTCCTCCTGCCGAAGTCATATGTTCTCAATCCGGTAGACCTTCTGGGGCTAAGGGGCTCCAAGGCTTAGGAAACTTTCCGCGCTTTACCTCTGATCCTGCAGCACACTGGAAGTGAAGGTTCAAGAATTGCTTTGGGACCGCTTGTAGCTGTGTTCAAACAGCCACAAGCCCCATGCAGCTCTTAATGCTAAAGAGCAATGCTGGCCTGGCGAACATGAGAACAACTAACCCCCTTGGGTTAGCAGTGCTCCAACTTGATAGGACCACAAACGAAGTAGGCCTGCTGATGGGCAGAAGGGCAGAAATTGCAAAGGACCCTTGATCAACTTCAAACCCCAACCCCCAGAACCCCGAGCCCCCCAAAGCCCGTAATTCAGCTAAATCCACGATGCCCTCGACCCTGCTACAAAATGGATTCGAAACAGCACCTGGGTACTTCTCCCGCAAAATCATGCCATCCTCAGACAACTCCATCAACTGGTCCGGTGGAGCCATCCAACTGGGGCTGAGGGCTTTGTGGGTTTGGATGGTTTCAGCGTTTATGGTTCAACGGCTTGAGGGCTGAGACCTTTAGGGTATTAGATGATTTCGGTGGGTTCCTCGCTTTTCGCGTCCGCCTCTGGAGAATTGTACTGCTTTCTCACATCAAGTCCTCAATAAGGCCCTCGTACTAGACTCAAGGATCAAACCATGGATGCCTTCCCACCTACAAGCGCCGTCAATCAAAATCATATTTGGGGTGTTCTAACCAGCTCCTCCTACGTGTGCAAAACAGGGACTCTGTGGCTATCACATGACTCTTGTAGGGTCCTTCTTACTGGGACTGGAATTACCAGCCTGCCGGAGATTCCCGCAGCATTTGGTATAAATTGCCCAGTCCGGTCAACCCGAGCACCCGAACCCTTGCTAAACCTTGGCAGGCCTTGCACTGTGTGTGGTTTCGGGTTCGGGGTACATGTATTCTTTTGGAGCAGAAGAACGGCACAAACCGCGGACGGTCCTACAGGCTAACTCAGATGGGATGAAGTCCTTCTAACAAGCTGCATGCTACAGAATGCCTAAGCCCCAGATCTGCGTAAAGATCACTCACCTCAACTTAGTAAGTCCATGATGTTGCACCCTGTCCAACTTAAGACATCCTCGTTAATAATGCGTTTCGGCTTGGGGTCCTTGAGGAACCGAGCCCGTCCGCTTTCAACCAATCTCAGGACCGCGGGAGACTGAGGGGCCCTTGTTGAGGGACCTCATTTTTCTGTGAGCCCCTATTGTCAGGGCAGGGCCCAAGATCAAAGAGGGTCTCATATTAGAACCCTCCACAGGCGCCCACGTGAAGTCCCTGGGCAGTGGCTTGAGGCCTACAAAAATAACTGCAAACGCTCCCTCACGGGGCACGGACGTTAAAATTGAGCGGCAGAAGGCGGGCGATTGGGCCGAGTGGTGACGGACAAGCGCGCAATGACGTGACGAAATCCAGCGACAAGGGGTCAGGGCATTGAAGTAGCCCGGAAGATTGAGAGCTTCCTTCTGGCAACAACCACGGTAGTAAGATGGAGGGATGTCAGAACCAGATCAGAGACAAACACAAAGTGTGAGACATTAAGGAGATCATCATCAATGACGACCACCCGGAACGTGGCCGGCAAGCACGAGACGAGACGCCGAGCAACCTCTCCTTACATATGGTCTTTGCAACACCAGTACCTCCGCCAACCGAGGCCTTTTTCGGGTTTCTGTAAACGCCTCACTCAGGCTCTTGCTGGCACGTACTATTATGTCTCACATGCCATATCTGTTGTCGCACCTTCGCAAGCCAGGCAAAAATGTTTTCGTCACCGCTGCCGTGGTTTCTCCTGATCCAACCTAAGCGTCGCCACAGAGGCCGAGGGGGGGAGGGGTCTGCACTCTCAAGCCACATGCCTCGGTGTCCCCAACATGTGATAGCTGGGCCACCAGCCTCCCGTGCCGTGGGTGCCATTTAGGGGAGCAGAAGCCAGTAGAAAGCTCAATGCGCCTGAGAGAGATTGGAGGTCCGGAAAATGCCCCCGAAACTCAAGGTGTTCACGTCGCCATTAGGTGTCCAGGATTTGAATGAGGCCGGTGTGCTTATGCTTGCCAACGCAAACAAGAAAACAGTAGCACCCACTTTTCAGAGAGGTGGAACAGGCCAGCCTTTCCTGGGCATAAAACCCACCTCCGATTAAGTAGTGCAGACAAAAGTGTTGCCTTTTTCAGGCTAGGGTGATAACTCAAGATTGGGGGAGGTGGGTTGCATTTTGGAGTGTCGAACCAGGACTTTGCCTGATGGTCAGCGAAGATGTGTCTTCGGATGCCGGGATTCCGAAGGGGTCAGGAGGTTTGAGCCAAAAACTACACCTAACACTCAACCCCTACATAACCCGTCTCTATGCATGTTCCCATGTCTTCTTCTAGTTGAGTTAATGATTCAAAGGATGTCAAAGATCAAGCCTGAGCCTGAAGACTGAAACTCAAACCCTAGGCCCTGTAGATGCTAAACCCCAAAGCCGCAGCCCTAAGATCCAAAAGGGTCTGGCACAATAGACACCCTAGTAAATCCCGCAGGTCCCCGAATAGACACCAACCTCGTATCCCTGTTCAGTTCTGGTAAATCCCCATATAGCACCGCTCTACAAAGGGGCAGGAAGAATATTCTTTGTGTGTGGGGGCGGGGTCTACAACCTTTATGTAAAAACTCTTTAGCTGTGGCATTATTCCCTCCCTCGCCCCCTGAAGCAACCCCAGAACAATACACCCTATCTTACAGCTAACGAGCAGACCCAGCGGCTCTTGTAGCAGTTGACGGTCATCAGTGGACAATGGGGTCTTGAAGGTGTTCCGGCCTTCATTCTCTGCCGCCCGGCCCACCTCCAGGGGTCTTCAATGCCTCTTTAGAGGGGGTGACAGAGAGGCAAAAAAAGCTTATTCCGTTTCAGGAGGGTTATCTCTTCATAGATATCTGGGGTTAAGGGCTGAGGGGTTCAGAAAATTCAGGTATCCCAAGAGACACGAGTTGTATATGAGTATTAGGGGATTCTAAGGGGGGAGCTCCCCACTGTGGATTCAGAAGCTCTGAGAATTCTGTGTATCTTGACTCCCAAGCAAGCAAAGCCTAACAACCAAGATCTTAAAGGGTTCAGGGGCTTTTGGCTTCCCAGTCCCACCATTAACAACCACAGTACTAGGCCCTAATGGAATGGTATATGTGTGCCCCACTGCTTGGGCCACTGTAGGAGGAAGAAACTTGGGAAAGCGGTTGCTGCCAATTCTTGAGACAAAGTGTTGGCACTGTAGATACAACCGGGCCTTAGATCGGGGTTGTAAGCTAGTCATGGAGGGTCTAGGTCGGGGAGGCCTTTTGTTGGTGTTAAGAGCTTAAGCTTGCAAGCTCTCGGCTACAAGTCCATCTGCACAGGGTTCTCAAAACACAGCAGCCTTGAGGACGGCGGAATAAATCATTAAGAGCCAAAAGCTCTAAACCACATACCCTAAACACAAGCCTCACCGCACCACACCGGGTTATGCGACTTGCAGGATCAAGTCGCTGCCTCTGCCTTAAAACAAACAGTCCCCAACGTACCTTGGAGGGTCGGGGGACTTCGCAAGTCTTTGTAAGCATACTTGTGACCCTCCCCCTGACGCTCCCAACAAGGGTCCAGCTCCGCGTTTTCATCGAGATTGGGGACCAAATACCACCCACGGACGAACAATTTGGGGCGCCTGGCATATTCAAAAGAGGGTCCTTGAATCCCGAAACATTGTCGGGGTGCCTGTCCCTCCAACACATACAAACCGGAGTCGTTCTTACCCAGGTCCCAGATTCAGACCCAAGAGTAGGAGACATCCTCGAATCTAGCTGAGTTTCGTGAAATAGAAACCCTTAGAAGCCCAAGGCATATATGAGGAATACAAGGAGGCCACCCCCTCAATAAGAAACTACCATCTAGTCACCCGCAATCCCTGACCTTGCCCCACAATCTTAGTCGCACATAACCTCCGCAATACTTCCTTTATAGTCCCGGAGGTGCACCTCTCCATGTTTTATTTGGCCTAAGCCATACCCCACAGCCTCATTCCCCTCGAACCCATTCAAAGCCTCATTTTTGAAGGATCTAGACTCAGCATGTTATCTGCATATGCTGCATGAGTACTAACCTTCCCCCATGATCAATTAAACTGAACAAAAGCATTCCATAGTCAGAAGTTGACAGTAATTAGGGCACAGGCAAGTTATACCTTGGTTTTGTGCCGTCTTGTGGTAGAGTTAGTTCTTGTGACTAAATTTGCCAGGTCACCTAGCAGTACCACATTGAAAGGTCTAGCTGCGGAGCCTAGCCATTAGATGACCGCTTTCCTACCGTGGCCCGCCTCGCGGGGTGTGCTGACTTGCGGCCGGGGGCTGACGAAAGCCGTGTAAAGGGTCCTCTTAAGATACCCACACGCAAATACACGTACTTTCTCAGAACGGGGAACCCAAAGGACACTTTTGTAGAGAACATATAAAGAGAACTGCGGGGGCTCCCGCTCAAGGGTGGTAAAGGGAGTACTTTGTGAAAAAACTCCCATGTAGAGTCACAAAGGTCATCTATGGTGACAAGTGAGGTTGTGAGCCTCCATTGAACCAAAAAGGGACCAAAAGAGTCGAGACCGTGAACGGTATGCGTAGTCGTGGATCGATATCCGAGGTGATAAGGGAAAATGATTGAACAGATGCCTTCGCCGATCGGCACTGTAGTCTACTAGGGGTCGGGCAACTATATTCGAGGCACGGGCTGGGCATGCTGCCGGCACAATCGAAGCTAACCCTAAACGGGTCAAGTCCGCATGCTGTTAAACAAAACTCGTAAATCGGAGGTTCCCCTCAAAAGGGACGCCATATAGACCCCTCACACTCCCTCCAAAAGCGCCGAATGCTTTCCTAAACTCCAAGTGAAAATGAACAGCTTCAGTCTCGGCAGCTGCTCTACAAAAACTCTAGTCTAGCGTCCTTACGATCGTTAACCATAGCTGGTTCCGTATTCTTCGCATACTCCTGGCAATCTTAATCTTATATAATCTTACGGTATCTTATGTTCCTACTTGGGTGTGTCTGATAGAAGCTGAAAATGGTATCCAACGATGCCAGTATCCCTTAGTCAAAGAATATATCATCTATCTTATGGTAACGTCCCCAGGAGAGGTATTATTCGATCTTTCCACTTGAGACACCAACGTTCCTCCCGGTGCTTCCGTAAGCCTAGCACCTGTGAGAACCTTGCCGTCCTTCCCATACAAATCCCCAAATTGGATATGTACTCCTGCTACATGTGGCATTCCGTGTAGGTGTAAACGAATAAACATGGAAGCTCAAATAGGCAGGCACAGGGAAATTTAGAGGGATCTGGGTTGATGTGCAACGTTATATTTCTGCAACGTCCCCATACAGGTTTGCCCTGTACAGGCGGGGTTCACAATCCCTGAATACTGAACCCTAACCATAGTTCGTAAGCTGAAACTCCAGCAGGGTCCCTGAAAGTAGGTGGCCCACTCCTTCCGAAGATGGCTACCACGAGCCACTTGAGGATGAACCCGCCCTTTGCCATGGTCCTTGGCCGGTTTCTAGAAAAGTGTAGGGTCTTGCGGCTTAAGACTTGGGATGTAACAGTCGAGGGGTTTAATGGCTAAGGAAGTGCACAACAATGTTGTACGGGAATCTTAGGATTTCACAAACTAGAAGGGGTAAGTAGCGCTTTACACGGATGCTTAGGACTATTTTTCCTCAAACTGCTGGGTCCCTTTCCTGGGTGATCATGACCCGGCTGCTTGACCTTGAAGCAGCCCGCTGGTAGCTTGACAGTACTCAGCAGCTTGACAATACTTGCCTGCAGAACCATTCCAGCAATTCCTCCAGGTACAGCGTTAAAATCGCGAGTGCTATCGGCAACAGACCTTACTTCTCGGGCATAGCAGATGGCATGGCTCGTATGCTCTTGCTAATTTCCAGCTTGAGCTAGTGAAGCTCGGCAACAGGCAACTCTCTCCTTGCCAGCAGCGTAAGCAACCAATAGGCCCCCTCACACGGACCAAATATCCGCTAAGGCACAATCATTTGTTAAGCCGCATCATCTGCTGCAGAGGAACTTTTCGCTTAACAACGCCGCATTTCTGAAGATAGCGTTCCCGCCTTGTTACCCTGATCCTTGCCAGAAAGGGGCTCATCAGAAACTGTTGAAACAGTAACCTCCCGAAGTCTTGGTGAAGCTCAGTGGCGGAGCTGCCGGCGTGCACGGCTATTGTGTTCAAAATGCACTCTATGCTGCCGAGACGTAGGTCCCAGAGCCCTACACAGGTCAGCTTGAAGTTCTGGAGCTGTGATGGCGGTGCTTTGCGTGCAAACTGTGGTGCTCATCTCTGCCGGCACGCTAACTTGAAGCCGAAAAGCCAAGCGGCATGCACGGCATGAGCTTGAGATGCCAGCTTCACGAGCCGAGAATGTTATCTGTAAAGAGATGGCAACACGAAAGCGTTCAATTCTCGTCTTTCTCAGAAGGTTATTGATGTTCGTATGGCTCAAATGTCAACAAGTGGCTGTCAAGCATTTCCTCTAGAAGCCAGCTGTGCAATATCCATCAATCTTTGCATCGTCCTCATTATTCATGAAAAGGATTTAGCATTGCCATCCCCATCCCCATCACAATGAAACCTGTAACAGACGATACAGCCTAGTTGCAGTACTATTTCTCAAGTTACGCTAATTACTCATTACGGCCATCATAGGAATGGGTAAGGGCAAGAATACCAGCAAAACCATGAAGAACATAAGAAGTGGTAGAAGGAGAAGCAGACCTCGCAGTGACGAGACAGAAAAGCTCGAGGAGCTTCCAGAATGTGCAAAAAGGGGCACCAAATTTCCCAAAACCATCATGTAGCTCTGTGAATTTTAAGGCCCTGCTGCCAGGCAACTCCTGTGGGAACTTGGACAAGACGTCTCTGGCTTCCTCCGCTTGCTGGCGTTCGGACGTAATATATTGGGATTATATAGGGAGAATGGAAAAGGAAATGGAAGCTACTATTCAGGGTTAGGGTTTAGGGATATGCTACCTGCTGATTCACTTTACTGAATTCACGGCTGACATTGGGCAAAGCCAGGTTGGACGGTTCGTGTCAGACTGTGTTTACGCCCGGGCACCATTCAAGCGGCGCTTGCTGAAATCTGATGGGCCCCTGGAAAAAAAGGGGATGCAGTTGATTCACCCCGAAACATGCATCACCAATCCCAGCCCGAACCCAAATAACCAAATCCCTGAAGACCATAATCACCCTAAAAGCGTAAAGCCCTGAACCCCAAAACCGAAAACCTGAACCCTAGGCCTCAAACCAGAGACTCCTTGAAACACTGATGAACCCTAGCCCCGGGCAGCAGTAGCAGCCGAATCCTGGATTGCGCCGCTATTCTCCTTCTGCAAAGCCTCAATACTCGAATCATGGAGAATCAAACAGAAACCTAACGCAACATGAAATGGAAACTGGGATTGTGCAGGATGCACGTATCTGGAGGGAGAGATTCTTTGGTCAAATCACCATAATCCCGGATGAGGTCACTCCATATTTGCCCGGAATCGTGTGGATTCTGTTTTTAGGCTTAGAAGGCATAAGTTCACATGAGCACCGCTTGTAGGATCCTAGTCTAACGGCTCGCCGGGCTGCGGGCTTTTCGAAGCGAAACATGTTTCCCTGAGTCTTGGTAGACATATTATGTAGGAAACCTTATTCTCATCCGTATACTACCAGAGACTAAAGGATATTGCCTATAGGTATCTATAGGTATAACTTGAAATTTCCTCACCCTTTCGACACTTGTGCAAGCATATCGGGCCACCGCTACGAAAATATAGGGATTCCAAGCAACTCCATGTTCATCGAAGGGAGGGATGCCACTGTTAAGGTCAGAAGCCTGAACTGGGAATCGGTATCTACCTGGGAATTTCTTGAGGCAAGCGATGGAGTGCTGCTGATGAAATTGATGGAAGAAATCCTGCACCAACTGAAGTGCCCAATGTCCTAGGAATTGCAGCAGAGACCAGTAGCGGGACTCTAGAAAGCATCAGTGCCAAATCCTAAACTTTGAAGCCTCAACCTCAGGTACAGGCAAGAAGCCCTAAACCCTGCAACTCCAAGTCCTAGGCCACGAGACTCTACCCCCTAAACCTGCAGGGTTCGTTTCAAGACCCTTCCTTGATAAGCTGTATATACCCTGGAGCAACATGGGAACCGCGCTATGGTCAAAGGCAAATTCCCCCATTAAGGGACATTGGGGCTCCCAAGTGTTCCCTAAATTTCCTTGGGGGGTAGTATTTAACCCGCACCCATTTTTTCCACGGAACGATCTCTTCTGGAGAGTCAGCAGACCTAGGTCAGTGCCTTATTGGGGTAGAATTCATTCCGTATTATGTGTTGTAGAACGTCTAAAGGATACTATCTAAGGTTGTAATTCTAAGTCAAGATTCCCTCATATACATACATGTATACTGTAGGTAAATGCGCGGGATCTTTACTAAAATCGTTCGACATTGGAGTCTATCCTCTACCATCACCTAGTAGGATCCGGGGCGCTTCTGAACAGCTCTTAATCCCTCTTGGCTTAGGAAGAAAATCGTACCATTAGTAGTGGAATGGAGAAAGGGGAGTATTTGAAGACGGCTTTGAAGCATTTCTCCATCCATATTAGATTTTGGGAGCATGGAGAAGGATCCGTGTCTTGGTTGGTCTTTACGGTGTTTAGGGTAGTTTAGGGCCAATTATTTGAGGAGATGAGTATTTCGAAGCCCTAAACAAGCTTCGGCCGGTGTAGGGGACCGCAAATTACCATACAGACTATGCATACTAGTATGACAAAGAAGTGAAGAAGAGGCATATTGAGATGTGTAGTCTGTTCTTTCAACTCAGGCTGTCCTTGCCCCAACGTCGCGCCGCTAGGTATTTGGTAGCATCTATTGTGAGCGTTTGGGTGCGATTACGAGGACTGCATTATCACAATGACGGCAATGCAGACATCATGTACAGGGCTGCGTAAGCGTTCTTCTTGCAGCAGGCTTTCCCAAGACTGTGAGTGCCTTTCTTAGGGGTCACCTACGGGTTTTGCAGAGCTCGCGTCCACCTGCGGCATTTACCATCAGTAGGTAGGGAATCGCAGGCGCACGAGTGAGCTCTGACATCCCGAGGCTTCGAAGGCAGCTTGCCGAACTGCTTCTGTCTGTCCCTTCACGTTCCTGAAATGAGCTTCAAGAGCCTTTGGCTCAATCAAATCTGCGGTGGCCCGTTATGCAGAACTTTTTCTCTGCTTCTCCCAGCATTCTGTCCATCAGACTTCTAGAAGGGCTCCTTATACTTCATGAGACACCTTTTCCCTAAGGAAGACAGCCGGCACGGAAACTCCTCCTGGCAACAACTGTAGGCTCTTTTTAAATCTTACAATAATTGGTCCCTGTGCCAGCTGCTTCTGTAGGTGGTTGCTCAAAACGAAAAAACAAGATCTGTGGGCTCCATGTAGACTTTGTTGCCGACACGGTGCATATCTGCGCCAAACCACTTCTGCACCTCACCTTGGTGCGGGACAGCCTACGTAGGAGACCCGGTGCCAACTTGGCCATGGTACGTTTGATTGGTTCCAGAATAACAAGTAGGCAAATGTGAAAGCGCTGGGCACCAAAAGCCATTCATGTTCTCCCAAAACGATCGTGCAGGCGGAGACTGCAGGCATCATTTGCTTTATGATGGGCCGAGGGTTTAGCCATCGGTCATCTGACAAGAGTCAAAGGCTCTTCAAAAGCCTAGCCCAGAAAGACGTCTTCCATGTCCTGCATGAACACAGGACTGTATTCTGTGCTGTGATTAGCCTTCTTGCTCTCCAACTCTGCCATCTCAGGGCTGTCCACAGTGGTCCAAACTATTCGGGCAATGGTTACAAAGCTTCGGGATTGTAAATAATTCCCGCAGCAACATGAACACCCCAAAGGGGGCCTACGTAGATTGTTGTCCTTTCAAAAGGGCTACATGGGAGCTCCGCGTTAACAAGTCTGAAGGAATAAACTTATATAACTACTATACCCGTCACACTCCATATATGCGGTATTTTCTCAAAGGGGCTTGTATGCCAGTTCGCACAGGCCACATCCCTGCACATACACTTGTGGAAAGCCTGTATACCCCCATGGATTCTCAGAACGGGGCTCCATGTTGGTTTGGGCAACTCTAGCCACCCTGGAACCCGAGAGCACTGGGACAAGTCAATGCCGAGTTGCCCATAGCTTGCTCGTGGGCATTGATGAAAAGGAGGATGGCGCAAACGCATCCTAGTTCTGGAGTCTATAGGGATAGCGAAGGCCCTTCCTGCAGACTACACCCCTCGATCTGCCTGACCTTCATTATGTGCGAAATGACTCAACACCCTCGCCTGTTTGGTGTTTCTGCACCTGGTCTGGAAACATTGGGCAGTGCCCATGTTCAGAAGAATCAGGAAAAGGACTTGGGGTAAAGGTTCACGCTGAGAGACTTTGGCTTGCCGATTCTTAAGTGGGGGCGTAAACATCAGCACGATCATCTT